GCTTTGCCGGGGCTGAATTCGGGCGTAGTGCGCAGGCGCGGGCGGTGCCCGTGTGTCAACGTCCGTTCCTGCTTTTTTTAGTTCGCACGTGGCGATTCCCACCAGTTGCTCCTGAATTTTCCTTGAAGCGAAGTGATAAAAGATAAGCCAATATTATTTCATCTTTATGAACCTTTTTTTCAGATTTGGCCAGTTTTCATCTCTGGACTGTGTGTGTGTGTGTGTTGTATATATTTTGTATATTTTTTTCTCTCTATATATATATATATATAGGAAAAAAAATCACATGACCAGCTTTGCCACTGTTGCAGCATCCCCAGGGTCACAGGATCAAAATTTGGGTGCCTGGCAACCAGTATCGTCTTTTTGATGGTGTTGCATTGTCCCTGGATCCACTGATCACCATTTGTAATCTTCCCAGCCAGCTTCTGACAATCGGGCAAGCCAGGTTCACTTAATGACTGCATCACTTAATAATTGCACAACTTTGCCAAAAAACTTTTTTTAAAAGTAGGTAACGGGTTCAATTAACTGCCCTGCTTAGCAGTGGAAATTCTGATCCCGATTGTGGCCATAACACGAGGCCTACCCGTTACTGTAGATTTCTCGAGAAATTGTTTCCTGGCAAGGTTTCATTATTTCTGCAAGAATGCTTCTAAAGCAGCTTTCTCAAACTCGGCAACTTTTAAGGTGTGTGGACTTCAACTCTGTGCTAGCTGGGAATTCTAGCAGTCGACGTCCCAAAGGTGCTTTTTTCAGGAGGCAACTGGACCTTCTTGTTTTTTCTTTGAAGACGTTTCGCTTCTCATCCCAGAAGCTTCTTCAGTTCTGACTGGATGGTGGGGAAATGGAAGGATTTATACTCCTTGCAGACAGCTGGTCATTTGCATCCTTTTAGAGTTGTTGAGGCCACTTGGAGGCCATCTATGTTGAGGGGGAGGGATATGATACCACCTATCTCCAGTCTACAACAGAGTCGACAGTGCCAAGAAGGCTCCACACACCCACTGAGGCACTACTCAGGTGGCCCTGAGGACACCGATAAAACCTCAAAGTGGCCTCAACGACTCTCTAAAAGGCAAATGACCAGCTTTCTGCAAGGCGTATAAATCCTTCCATTCCCCACCATTCTATCAGAGCTGAAGAAGCTTTTGGGATGAGAAGCGAAACGTCTTCAAAAATAATAATGGAAATCCAGTTGTCTCCTGAAAAAGCATCTTTGGGACAAACATGACTTGGGTGATTGAGAATCTCCACATTTGGCAGGCAAAGTCTACACATCTCAAAGTTGCCGAGTATGAGAAACACTGTTCTGAAGGGAGCTTTGTTAAGGATCTTCTAAAAGGTATGTTAGTACAGGTGGTCCTCACCTTAGCAACAGTGTGTTTAGTGGCCAAAGTTACGTTGCTTGAAAAAGTGACTTATGACTGCTTTCCGCACTTACCTCTGCCGCGGGCGATTTACATTCGGATGCTTGACAACTGATTCGTATTTACGACGGTCGCAGTGTCCCGGGGTCATGTGATCCCCTCCTGACGAGCCAAGTCAAATGGGGAAGCCAGATTCACTTAACCACGGTGTTGCTAATTTAATAACTGCCGTGTTTCACTTCACAAGCGTAGCAAGGAAAGTCGTAAAAGGGGGCAAAAATCAATTCACACATTTCTCACTGAGCAAGATACAATTTTGGGCTCAATTGTGCTCGTAAACTGAGGACTCCCTGTATTGGGGAAGACGCAGGCATGCAACCGGGCACATAGCCCCTCTCTGTGGATCAATGCTCTTCCTTCCGCTGCCCCTTACCTTTTCAGGTGCACCCATTACCTTTGCTTCCCACTTTCCAGATGTTCAAGCTCTTTACTAAAGGTTCT